CCGCCCGGCACAGGGAAAACCTCCACCATCCTGGCCTGTGCCAGGCAGCTCTACCGGGACAGGGAGTTCGGCTCCATGGTGCTGGAGGTGAGCGGGGACACGGGGAGGGAAAATGTGGGATACGGGGTGGGAGGGATGGGATGGGGAATGGGATGGGATGGGATGGGATGGGATGGGATGGGATGGGATTGAATGTCCTTCCAACCCAAACCATGCTGGGATCCCGGGATTCACCCCAGGGGTGCACCTGAAACAGGAATTCCACAGAGCTGCCCCTTCCCTGCTGGTTCAATCCCAGCGGAATCCCCAGAATTCCAGATCCAGCCCAGGCTGGGAGCAACCCCAGGGGGATATTTGGGAGCAATCCCGGGGGGATTTTCGGGAGCAATCCCAGGGGGATATTTGGGAGCAATCCCGGGGGCATTTTCGGGAGCAATCCCAGGGGGATATTTGGGAGCAATCCCGGGGGCATTTTCAGGAGCAATCCCAGGGGGATATTTGGGAGCAATCCCGGGGGGATTTTCAGGAGCAATCCCGGGGGGATATTTGGGAGCAATCCCGGGGGGATTTTCGGGAGCAATCCCGGGGGGATTTTCGGGAGCAATCCCGGGGGGATTTTCGGGAGCAATCCCGGGGGGATATTTGGGAGCAATCCCGGGGGGATTTTCGGGGGTTGGGCCCTTTAAGAGCCGCTTGGGTGCCAAATTCCTCCGAGCCGGGAGTTTGTCACGAACCATCCCCGGCGCGCCAGGAATGGGGTGGGGATGTTGTGACATCCAGGAGGCCTGGAAAGCATCCAGATCCCACCAACTCCCTGAGCTTCTGCTCTCCCAGATCCCACCAATTCCCTGAGCTTCTCCTGCTTTTCCAGATCCCACCAATTCCCTGAACTCCTTCTCCTGCTCTCCCAGATCCCACCAACTCCCTGAACTCCTTCTCCTGCTTTTCCAGATCCCACCAATTCCCTGAGCTTCTCCTGCTCTCCCAGATCCCACCAACTCCCTGAACTCCTTCTGCTTTTCCAGATCCCACCAACTCCCTGAGCTCCTTCTGCTTTTCCAGATCCCACCAATTCCCTGAGCTCCTTCTCCTGCCCTCCCAGATCCCACAAATTCCCTGAGTTTATCCTGCTTTTCCAGATCCCAACAACTCCCTAAAAATCCTTCCTTCTGTCCCTCTGGAAGTTGGAGGAGACCAGAGCAGGTTTAAGTGGATTTAGAAGAATTTCCAAACATTTCTTTTCCTTATAAATCCCTAAAAATCCTTCCTCCTTTTCCCTTTGGAAGATGGAGGAGACCAGAGCAGGTTTAAGTGGATTTAGGGCATTCCCACCTCACCAAAACATTCCTTTCCCTTATAAATCCCTACAAATCCTCTCCCTCTGGAAGCTGGAGGAGACCAGAGCAGGTTTAAATGGATTTTATCCTTCCTCCTCTCCCACTGGAAGTTGGAGGAGACCAGAGCAGGTCTAAGTGGATTTAGGAGCATTTCCAAGCATTTCTTGGCCTTATAAATCCCTAAAAATCCTCTCCCTCTGGAAGTTGAAGGAGACCAGGGCAGGTTTAAATGGATTTAATCCTCCCTCCTGTCCCTCTGGAAGTTG